TCTCAATAAGTGATTAAATACCTTTGACATCCTGTTGAACTTCTATAAATATTACATTCTACTATGCTTAAATTTCTCACAATTGTTTAATTTCTTAAAATTATTTTGTATATGTACGTAAATGGCATATTACTATAAACAAGTTATAATCTTCGCATTACCCAACGCAGTATAGCTTCGTTACTCATGTAACTTAATTACAATCGGATCATTGATAGAACAATACAGTATGGGCACGAGTAGATTGCGCGGCCTCATTAGATTGCGTACGCGCAGGGCACACACATGTGATTTCACTGTGTTATCTCTGCTAATACATCAATGGCTTGTCCAGTATTGTTAGTGACGCGGCTTGAAGCTATTGTGATGTCTTGTTGCAGTTGTCCTAGAGTTGTGTTGAAGATATCGAATAAGAGCTCTTAACAATAATGTTAGACCGGTGTAGACACGAGCCTCTGTTTATCAATCTCATCTCTTGATTTTACTATTTATATATATAGAAAAGGTATCTTATGTATGCAAAATTTTATTATGATCAGATGAATTTATATATTTTACTTAACACATCATAGCAAAATATTGAGTAAAACAATAATAAAACCTTTCACTTGACTAGTCAAGTAAGGTTATGATATTACTGGGTCATTTAAGTATCACAGCTATAATCCTCATAGGATTGTTATGAATTAGGGATGAAATATAATCACAATCACGTGTGATAAATCATATGATCACACCTGTAACTAATTTACAAAACCACTGCGGCTTATTATTATTATTATACGCCAGACCCGCGAAAGGCCTAAAACGTAAAAAGAAGTCGAAAAAAAATTATTTTGATTGATTTTCATGGCATTTATCTATCACCAAAGGTCCTGTGACCAAATCACCATCACATGTGTAATCGCTGTGACCAAAACCAATCTTTTCATCATATGAATATGATTTAAAAGTAGCAATTCTTTCCATGTCTATTATGAATAGCTTTCACGCAACTATATTATATGGCATATAATTTTATCCCTAAAAATGACAGATATCACCATCTTCTTACATACGAGTACTTGTTCATTTCGTATTTTTTAGTTTATACAATAATATGGAGGGATACACATTAAATAAAAGAATATATCTTCATTATTTGTTAATGAAACAACGAAAGTTTTTAAGAACAGTAACTCACCGAAATGCATCGATAACTCCCAATCGATACTTAACCTGTTCTCATTCGACAACACTACTCCAAGAATGAATGAGGTACTTATAACACAAAGCCCTTGTTACGTAACGTCTACAATATTGTTTACAATAAGGATTAGACTTGTGTCGATGGCACTGTACTAGACTTGGCATTTAGATCGGTACTCTCACATCTATAGTTCTCTTACGAAACTAAACTGTACAAATTACTGGCTTAAATACGATGACATTTGTGAAGCGTTTAAACTCCTTTGAAAATCGCTGTGGTTTATTGATCTCGTCTCGTAAGGCGAAAGTAAAACTAAATGATTGATGTATTGAAAGGCGGTTAACATGAGGAGCAAGTAACCTATTTCACTATACTGTTAACTGAGGGCCTAGTGTGAGTTAGTTTTACATCTACTCACATTCAGCGTTGTGATTGGCCCATACTGAAATCTTCACCTATTCAATCAATCACACTACACACACCCTCTGTAACTTGTACTGACGATACGTCAGTCTACGCAGGCTTTATACAGATTGGTAGACTTAGAAACCTTTTGTAAAATCATAGTGTACTTTTAGCCATTTTATTTCTCTACGCTAGAAACTCAGAGTAGAGCGATGACGGTTTAAATTTAAAAACGTAGGTGACCGAATGGTTTGCAGATGTTAATCATCTGCAAACATCATAATGAAAACTGCATATCTACATGTTCATTTTTTTTTTAAATCTTAATCAGTGTACTCCAATGTTTACTACAAAACAATGTTAACTAATTAATATTTTTGGGTTATCAAAAGGTCGTCTAAATCTGCCTATGGCAGTGTATCACCTAAACCAATGAAATGTGTTTACTTTTAGCACTAAAAAGAATACGCATCTTTGGTAACATAAACCATGTTTTTCGTACTCTTGACAGAGGCCTGGAGGGTAAAGTGTATAACTGTTAGTCATCCTCGGTTGTGCAACGGTGTACGCGGTCAGGTCACAGGAATGCCGCCTAATTGACAGATTGCTGAGGACGTAGGCTATATTGGTGTCACTTAATAACAAGCCTCTTGTTGCCTAAGCCTTCACTCAAAATTAGATTATGTACAAGATATAGGCAACATGAGTTTAGGTAGTTTCAATAATATTGTAACGAAAAGTGACCAGTAATCGGTAAAGCACACTGCAACAGTAAAAAACTAACGACTTGCTTGATGAAATGCGGTCATTGTGGTTGTTCTATACTACTTTTTATGGCGTTTATGAGCTTATAATTTACATATATATATATGATGGCAGAAGAAACTGTAAACTGATCAGTATACATCCTGCGACACTTTTTAATAATAGAAAAAAACTAGGATAATAAATTAAAACGTGTTTTGTATGATTAAGTATACTGTTTAATATTTTTACTGTTCATTTCAAAGACCGGTGACTCGAAAGGCTCTAGAAGTAACATAAATATATATTTAGAGGAAACCATACCCTATTACGTTACCTAATCATTTCTTGGTGATTACAGCACTAAACGTCATGTCAATATCAACACATATTTTTTTACCTCATTACAATTAATTAATTAAAACAAACACTAAGTAAATAAAATACAATTCTACTGTATTTGGGAAGATAAACTTTCGAAATATCTTCTCAAAATAATCCAATCATCATCAGTGATTAATTAACTTTAATTGAATACATCGGGTTGCAGAGATAACTCAAATGCGCTAGTCGCTATCGAGACACCTCGACATCGACGACGTGACTAGCGATGCATTAAGATACTGTATTACATATTTCGCCACCTACATGACCTTTAGAAGAACCTTTCGTAGTGACAGACAGCGAACAAAGGCACAAAAGTTTTTGGAACACATAATATTGCGAAGAAAATGTGATGATATCTACTTTAGAGCGTGTGAAAGATTCACTAGAGAGATTTTAACGCTTTTGGCAAGATTTTACCTGTTTCGGTTTGTATAAGGTACAGTGAAGTACTTACACTTACGTACAAATTTACATGGATATAAATATATGAAAATAAATAACTAATAATCGCGTTCTGTCGCGCCATGTGTGAAGGATCTTCGGAAGATTATAATGCCTTCATTTAAGGCCTCTGAGCCATAGTGCATTATGTTAATGCGCGCGTTATACCGTCCAGGCACGCGATACACTTTTTAAAAATAGAACAGTTTTAAATTCGCCCCCCGTGGTGACGCGCCCGCACCGCTCAGATTGGCAGAATGAGTGACGTCCGCTGTCCTTATTGGTAGATAAGATTTGACAGATAAGAGTAAGCGGGCCACATAAAAGACGATATGTCTCTTCCTGGTCGTTTTCGACTTGTAAAAATTTCAAAACGGTATCGCGGTAACAAAAAGGGTACGGCTATCTTACGCTCCGTCCGGCCATCTCATATCTATCACATGGGAATGAAAACATCTGTCGACATTTTGTTATGTCTGGATCGTCTTTTTACGTGAGCGCGCATTATGAAGTGGTAAGACGTCTTGCTTTTGTTTGAATTGTGTAATGTGAGGTCGATCGCCGTTGGCTCGTTCAAACTTCGTTATAAGCTGAAACTGGTCCAGAGGCGAATCCCTTTGGACATTATCTTCTCCCTAACGTTGTAATACGACTTGAAATAACGAAAAGATTGATAATGGAGCGAAAGCTTTGAATATTGACGTAAGTTTTTAGTATCTTCAGTGAACTGGTGAGTATAAACTGAACTAATTCAGGTTTTTGATAATCTGCTTATACTCTAAATAGTAATCACTAATGTCGTTTCGATCTAACGTACGACAAATACGTGATTCTTATCAAACTGCCGCTGCAATAGTACCTACTACTACATATTTCACATCATCACATCAACAGCCTTTAATAGTCCACTGCTGGTCATAGGCCTCTCCTTAGAAAGGTTTAGGCCTATTATATTGGCATATTTAATGTAACTAAATTTTCTAATAAAAATGAACCAGGCCCGTACAATGAATCTGAAACCATGTGGTACCCTGATTTACAAAGAAACCAGATGAGCCTTTTAGTATGTGTCCTTTGTCAATAATTTCGTTTGATATGGTCTAGCTTGGGCCCTATGTGACCACTCGATGGTGGATTGCAAAATGCAAATAATCTCCTAGGCCTACCTTATTATGTACGTACCTATCCTATATATGTACCTATCCTATATATGTACCTAATTGTGAGGTGAAAGATAAACCGTAGATTGTTGATATGTACAAAAACTATAAAGTAGATTTACGGATCGTTATTACTATGATTAGAAACACATATACATTTTTATGTCATTAAGTCCAACGGTTTTATGAACGTCTACAATGCTCAAAAATGTTTATTACGCGAAGACTCAGCCTAGTATTTATTTCGTACACGTACTATAATCAAACATGAGATTTTATTCGTTTTTTAACGTGTGACAGGTATTACACACCTTCGAATTGTCTGTCCTTTTGATTGAGTTGCACTGGCCGTGGTTACAGGCTGACTGGATGCACCACTGAGCCCGTAGTGCTGTGACGTGATCGCGTTAACACGTGTGAAGGTACATAGTTATATTTCTGTCGTGCTGCCTTTATTTATCTCCCTAGGCCATGTATATAGCATCGTTTTCTAGTTCATAATCTTTAAACAGATGATATTCACGTATTCAGCAAATAGCGTAATTAAAACTTTTGCGCATTTAAACTTTTAAAATGGCCCATGGTCGATAATAATATCGACCTTCAAGTTAGTCAAAGTTTTATTTTTCAGAATGATAATGGACAGAATACTATTTCTGAATTGTCTTTTCCAGGAGGCAGATTCTGCTCATTCTCCCCGTGCATAGAACAAGTACAGAGGACATGCCTTACGCTTGAAGAGCATGGCTTCCAAGAAGTATCTACTATGGAAGTGTTACAGACGGAAGTCAAGGTGACCAAGAGAACGATCCCTGTAAGAGATTTGTCTTTCCTTAAACAAAAGGTAAGTTTTGACATCCTATGCTAGAAATACATATGCAACTTTGCTATATTTTTGGCTTCGTGCCGCCTATACCGGGCTTAGGTCTTGCACATTATAAATTCGGTCACTTTCTCATTTTTTAATTCACGGTCTTACGTTTCATTGTACATTACATTAAAGCATTAATGTTAAGAATTAAAAAAAAACAACAAAAGTAAAAGATTTATCTACTAGATTCTTTACATACATGTTTCTACAGAACTTACTAATTTGACGTTTATTTAAATGGAACTGATTTAACATGCCAGTTAAACATCGTATTGATTTCAAATAGAATCGGTTGTTCTTAATTATGACTGTTTCAATTTCAAATTTAAATTTAGATACAAAGCATAGTTATCTACATCAGTTAATTCGCTAATAGCTGCATCTGGGCCACACTGACCTCCCTGACACATTAAGTCAGCTAAGTTACGACGCCGCTTCAAGCATACGTCGAGGATCGATCAGCCACTAACGAGCAGATAATTGACAGTATCACTTTGTATAGCCTACTGTGTATACTTGCGTTTTAAGGCCATTAGACAGATCGGTGGTTTTATATGTAGATATATATATAATTGCTATGGTACATTATATTACGGACCTCAGTTCAGATATAAGGATATAAATTGAAATACTAGTATATGTAAGTCTGTATGCGAATTAAACAACATCCTATATATGTTTAACTTCTAGAAATCGCCTGGCAGTCAAATTTCAAACGGTTTGAATGTTATGTTCTACAAATATCGTTGTATAGACATTGGAACCTTGAAAGGTCAAAATATAAATTTGATCCCTATTATTTAATGTAACCCTTTGATTATGATGATAATTCTTTACTTTTAAGCATATTGTCTAAAAATTTACTTTCTGCATGTCTTCTATATAAATTAAGTAATCCTAGTATGAATTTCCTTCATAGGCCATATTTATTTAAAAAATTCTTTGTACCCTTCTTACAAAGAATTTTCTGCACGTATAGAAAACTTTAATAGGGAAAGTTTGATAACGTTTTTCACAAATTAAAATTTGTTTATTTATGTATTATAACTATGTATGTTGAATGGTAAGTCGTAAGCAATTCAAGCCTGTTAGAACCCTATACTGCTTTTATGAATTACTTAGAAATTTTAAACAATTCTTATGATCGGCGTGATCTAGCTAGTTATGATCTAGCATGAATTATAAAACGTGGATACGAATATGGTTCCGAGTTTACATAGTCGATTCGGCGTATAATTGGACTACTTGGATACGTCTAGTACTGAATTAATGGGGTCATAAGGCTTAACAGCGTTGCCACTAAACTGGTTTAATGTGTTCCATGGGGTTCGTTATAATTATTCTTTTGTTTAACCATTAGAACTTGAGACACATTTAATACACATCAACTTATGTAGTTTGGATATCAATATCCTATGATTTAATATCGTGGGGCTGATCGGTGATTGAGACAGAAGGCAGATAGTGGGACTCTTCAGTTCTTACTACTGAAAATTCGACGAGTTAGGACTCATATGGATCGTTTTGATGAGTTCAACAGATTGGATTGGTTTAGTAACGTAGTAACAAAGCTACTTAAACTAGGATGTAGATAAAGTTTGTATAAGTGTTTTTGTTAGTTTTACTAAACTATTTTCTTTGAGTTGTTTTTTAGTCGAATCGACTATATTACCCATTGCGTTCGTCTAACGGCCCATTGCTAAGTTCTGGAGTGACGCAGATTGAAGTTGCAGAAAGTTGAAGTGGATGGGGTACTAGCCCGCCCATCACCGTGAATAGTGATCGTGTTTCGAATTAAATGGGATTACTTGGGTAAACTGATTGATTGATGTAAATTGATTGCCTGCCGAGAAATATATGGAAGAATATTTTATTTTACGTCCTTTAAACGCGAGTGTTCAATGTTATCTAGTTGGGTGTTCGTAGTTATTAAACTTCGACGTAAAAGGTGGGGTGCAATAAGTTTAAACGTGTGTATCGGTTAGTCTATTTGCGCCATCATGTCTCTTAAATGGATTAAATGATATTGATTTAGTTTCATTTTATTTAGAAGGTAACTTAATGTTTAACAGTTTCACCTATTCAAGTGAATCTGTTTAGTCGTTTGAAAATCAACAGCTTTTTCCAATCGATGCAGAGATTTTAGAGACAGATATTTTAAATTTTGAAGTGAATTTTTTACACAAATTTCTTTCTCTTTACCAAACAGGGTACGGTACCAAAACACTACATACATGACAACAATGGACTAACTAGTCATCTAGTTTTTTTTTTTTATAAAAGGCTGTTGGGTCCCGCAATGTTACTATTTACTATCATATTTACTTATACCGCCATATTCGTTGTCGATTATCAACTCATGATGAACACCATTACCTTATTAGTATTATGTTAATAAATTAAAACGGAATATTGGTTTAATTTTAGAACCTTTAAACAAACAAACCCCTCAGATTAAGTTCTATAAGAATGTAATGTACATAGAAACGAATGATGTCGTATTCAAAGCAGTATATATTACAGCCCAGGTGTCGTCTATATCAGACGGAGCTGAGCTTCAACACCGTATTGTCTCATTGTTAGTCAGATGCCTGTCGGCGGTTGTCACAACTAGTTGCTATTCAGAGAGAACTGTACTGAACTTTGTGTATCGTAATATAAATTGACCTTATGGTGTTGGTGGTGGTCTTCGTTAGATGAATAGATGGTATCTCTACTCAGTTCCTATAATAATAATGATATATCTAACATGGTTGTATATATACTAGTCATTAGCTTCACACACCACAGCCTAGAAATTGAGATAGTGATAGTTTGATTACTCCGTAACACTATTTTATAAAATGACTGCATATTTCCTTATTGAACCTAAATTTGTATTGCATGAAAGAAAACAACGTTGTTATAATAAAATATTTTTACACTGAATTTAGAAGGTTTAGGAGATAAAATGTATGAGGTAAATGTACAAACGTGACGTTCTTAACCTTTCTAAGTCTTTAAATTTTACAAGAAATAAACACTTAGGTACGTGTCCTCCATTTAAAGTAGACTTAAAGCCATTACAATAGCAATGCAATTACCTCTATTACTTTAAAATTAAAAATTAAATCGTACCATCTCGTTGACCTACCGTTACCTCTAAACATATAAGTATTTACAAAGATTTTAAATATTGCACGCCACTTGATCGAATTTGGGCTTCTCGCATCAAGCTCCTGCCAGCCATCTTGCGCAAATCGTCCAGCCCACTGCCACTTCAGCTTGCTAATCCGGTAGGCTATGTCGGTGAACTTGGTTCTCTGCCGGATCACCTCATTCCTAATGCTATCCCTTACAGAAACGCCGAGCATAGCCCTTTCCATAGTACGTTGAGCGACTTTGAACTTGTGGACCAGCCGTACCCTAAGTGTCCACGTTACGGCTCCGTATGTCATGACGGGTAGGACGCACTCATTGTAGGCTTTCGTCTTAAGGCATTGTGGGATCGATGATGAGAATACTCGATGTAGCTTCCCAAACGCTGCCCAACCCAACTGAATTCTTCTGTTCACCTCGTCCTCAAAGTTGTTTCTACCTAACTGCAATGTCTGCCCGAGGTACACATAATTTTGAACAACTTCGAGAACGGAACCGTGTACGGGTGTCGGCAATCGGTTCCGGCAGTACATGTTCATTAAACATGACCTTGGTTTTATCCAAGTTCATCCGTCGGCCGATGAGTACAGAAGAGTCAGCTAGGTCATTCAGCATCTGTTGTATGTCCCGCAGCGTCTCTGCCATGATGACGATGTCGTCTGCAAATCGCAAGTGAGAGATGTATTCGCCATTGATATGGATGCCACGCCCTTTCAAGTGCAGCGTCTTGAACTTGTCCTCCATTGCATTTGTGAAAAATTTCAGGGAAATAACGTCCCTTGTCTCACTCCTCGATGCAACGGTATGGGTCTTGTTTTGCTGATTATGTTCTTGGACGGACATGGTGGCGGCTTCGCAGAGACATTTAATCACTTGGATGTATCACCAATCTACTTGGCAACACTACAGGGACTCTAGAAATGACCTGACCAGATTTCGATTGTTAAATAAACACAAAAGTACAATTTGTGAAGATAAAATTTAACACATTTTTAGACGATATACTTTAGCACGTACCGCAGTCGTATTTTAAAGCCTAGAAACACTATAATAATGTAGTTAACCCAATATGAACAAACATAGTAATCAGTGTTTTTTTATCTAACGTTCATCAAGTTATTATCAGATCAATAATGCACTAATGTTTTTTACGAAGACCACCTGTGATCAAATTACACAGACCACCGATATCGCTATAACCGTATATTACTCTGAGATAAAACTGAATTAGCATAAACAAAGCAAACCTTGGAACTTAAGAGTACGTCTTGTTCGATCGTAATCATAAATTCTGTAAAGCGTTAATTATGAAAATTGCGATAGTAACGCTTTTAAGATAGATTTGGTACTATCCATATATAATAGAGAAAAATTATTGATCCATGATTTATACAAAGGATTATACCTTGTAAAAATTGTGGTATAGGGTTTGGAATCCTATGTCATAATTGTGTTCGTATCGGCGACGACGTATCGGGCTGCGTTCGGCAACGTCACGCGCGCCGTTTGTCGCGAGCGGTCACGTTTCGCGAACGGTAGCTAAGGGCTGTCGATACAACATAATATTATCGATAAAACACACTGAATCATTACAAATATGCAAACAGTTTTCTACCTCACAGTTGTGAGGTAGAAAACTGTTTGTTATAGCAACTTTGCTATAAGCTATTTGACAATAAACGACTAACAATCTTACAATTAACGTAGAATACAATTTACATGGTTAAATAGATGTGATAAATATTATTTGTTTATTCCTTATTTCAGTTTTACTCAAAATGTAAATAACATATTTTCGCCATTACTCATGCCTTATTTGCAGTCAAGCTCAGCAT